TTTTTTGATCTTTTTTTTTTTTTTAATAGTTTTACTAAAGTATCTGTTTTGGAACATAGGACAAGTCAGAATATTTTCATTGGGTTTTATTCTAGCTCTGTACCAGAATGTAAAAAAATGTGGGGGGAGAAATTTTAAAAAAAAAAAAAAAAAAAAAAAAGGATAACTGGATAGATGAAAAGTAGTAACAAAGAAGAAAGAGAACATTAACTGTATAGGAAACCATATATATCGTATATAATTTTATCTCTATTTTGGTTTGAGTTGAGGTTCTTTTCTTTGCCTGATAAGAAGCAGCCAGTTCTGTTGAATTACTGGGTGAATGATGAGCCTAGGCTTCATGAGAAGTTACCATTAGGTTTTGAACTAAAGATGCAGTTCATTTCACCGGACACATAGTCTTATGAAAGCTAAATTTTTGCTTTAAGAGGGGTAGTTTCCCTCTTACTTAGATGGGACAGAAATAAACCTTTTCATGAAACTGTTCCTAAGGTAAGATGTCTAAGAAAAGGCAGGTGACTTGAGCTGTCTAGTGAATTCTCAGCGTTTTTATCAAAGTAGAGAACCTGGATGACTGATTGCGGCTAAAAGCCTAAGTCATACCCAATTTAATACTTTGCATTCATTTTCGATAATGCTGATAGTAATTCACTCAACATAGGCTGTCTATAACTCATTCAGAGACAATGTCTTCTGTGATGCCACTTTGCATAAACTGTTTCTGGCAGAGAGTCTCTCCTGATGTAACCAAAATATTCCCTGAAAACTATTCCTTTACTTTTTTTTACCTCAAATCATGCAGATTCCCTCACCTGTAAAGAGGACCATGCATGCCCAAACTGTGAATCCAGTTTTGCCAGCCAAGAAATTCTAGCTGAACATCTTCAGACTTTGCACCAAAAACCCAGTGAAGAGAAGGAATTTAAGTGCCGAAACTGTGGAAAGAAATTCCCTGTTAAACAAGCTCTACAAAGACAGTGAGTAGAAACAGGAGGGTTTTTTCAGGGATCGTTTAAATCAATTTCATTCAATCATTTATTTCTCTTGGCTTAATCACAATTTAAGTTTTAATTTTTATGCTTGTGTGTTTGTACCCCTGCCCTTTACATTAGCCTTTAAAATATGTTAATTTCTTGTATTTGTTGGAGACTTAGTTATGAATTGCAAAACTGTCACTAATTTTTTATTTTTAATGTCATACACTGTAGACCAGATCAGAGCTGCTATTTGGTGGAAAACCGTTGGGCTCCATCAGTGGACTATTTAGTAGTTTAGGAGATGTATTTTTTAAGCTATGGATGTTGTTAGAGAAGTGAAGTAAGATTTAGAAGAAAGTAAATGGTGATCTAGCATGACCAAAAAAAAGGAAAAACCATGCTTCATGTTTGCTTAATTACATATTTGGGTGATGGAAAAAACTCAAATAGATACATGAAAGATACAAGATTTAAGAGCACATCTTTTCTGTCCTTGATATGTAAATATGCAGTTTTGTCACTAAAGTCATATACCTTACAATTAAACTGTTGTAAAAGAACATAACTGGTTTTGTCTTTTGTTGTTTATATATCTTTTTGCTTTCAATTGAATAGATATATTTTTATTATATGTTTAATTACAGATAGTACACTAGATGCTTAACTGATTATAGATAGTACATTTAATCTAACTCGTGTTGGAAAGAAACGGACGCATATAGCAAAGAATGCACTTAAGGTTACTCTTCTAATAAATTGAGTTCTCTTAGATATGAATAATGTCAATGTTCCTAGAACTGGCAGCTCTATATGAGCTCTGTTCTTTCATGGAAATAAATAAAATTAGATAGCAGAGAAAAATTTGGTGGAGACAATTAAGTATTTTCTCTTGAACTTAGACTTCTTCCTTCTAGTCTATAGTGGAAGTTGGATTTGTGCTGTATAGCTAGTTAGGTAAATTTTTACGTCATGCGATCTGTGTGAGGATAGAGCAGCCTGATCCTGACTCTTGCTGTTTATGTATTTGATTAATCCAGCTAAATTCCAGGAGACTTCACATATGACATAGATTACTTGCCTACTTAAAGATTTGTGGAGGTGTATATACGTCTGTAGCTACTGCAAGCCTGTGTAAATTGTAGAATATTCTCCTTATATTTTTTAACTTATTTTTTTATTTTTCTTTAGTGTTCTTCAGTGCTCAGAGAATATCATCCCAGGAGACTCTTCAAGAAGTTTTCAGTGCTCTGTTTGCAATACCTCCTTCAGCTCGGAATCGAGGTTTTGTGTCTGAGTTACTGGACTGCTGTCGTATCGTTGCTGGCCTCCCTTTGCATGTTAGCTTTCAAGCTTGTTAGTTTATGTGAATCCTAACAGTGAAAGAAGTCAAATGCTTTCATTCCTATTTGCTGTAAGTAATGCATGAGGTGGCCTTGGAACTCTGCAGTGCAGCATGCGTTAAGCTCAGAGTACTTGCTATGTGTCTGGTTTCTGTAGATACTATTTTATGTGATGCTTTTTTTGTTTTGCTTTTGTTTTCTCTACTGGTTATCCCATGTAGTTATGAACAGCACAAGGAGGCATGCAGAGGGGATGCCAGATTCATATGCAAGGCAGATAGCTGCGGGAAGAGGTTCAAGAGTAAGGATGCCCTGAAAAAACATAAAGAAAATGTTCACAGCGGTAAGAAAGAGTTTAATGTTTCTTCAGATAAAAGCCCTCTAACGTGTTCCTAGCCTCAAATTTGCAAATTGGAGTAAACAGTGTCTTTGGTTTCTTTTTTAATGGATTCGTTTGTACCAGAAAGAAAATTAAGAAGTAACTAATTGCAAGAGTAACTATTCCTCCTTCCCCAGGGAGAAATTACTGTATACCAGACAAATCATCGGTCTGCTGCAGAAATTGTAATAGGATTTTGGGGAAGTTTAAACTAGGTAAATAATAGATAAAGCAAAACATTTCAGTAGTGAGGAAAGTCAACCACTGGCACAAACTGCTACAGGAAGTGGCAAGTTCTTGATCTTTTGGTATTTTCAGGACACAATGGGATGTCTTTCTGGAAGATATGCTTTACAAACGATTAGGCTTGATGAGAGCATTGCATAAAATTCTATAGCCTCTGTTGTGCAGGAAGCCAGAGCAGACAATCCACTAGTCCCATTAGGCCTTAGCGTTTTTATATCTGTGCACTGTGAATCAATAGTTTTCAATCAAACTTCACTCTGTTTTCATGAAAGGGCAAAATGCTGCTCTCAAGTCCACAATGCAGATCTCAGTTCTGGCATTCTGCTCTCTCTGCATGTCCCCTCTCAATGGAAGATCAGTGTGTGTGGGGACAGCAGAATACCAGAGTGCAAAGAAAACAGTCTTTAGTTAATGGTGACAGCACTGAAATGCTTTGTAAGGTTTTCATTACACGAAATCTCTTTCTTCTGCCAAACTCTTACAGTGTACCATTCTTATACCATTCCACAACCATTCTTATAAAAGATTATCTCATTTTTTTCAGTATCTGTGAGATTTTTTTTCATACATGAGCATTGTTATTTTTAGGCTTAGTGTTGGTCAGTTATGTAGTGTATACAAATTTCACAGATCTCTTGAATGATCACTCCAGACAAAACTGAGAGCAGACGCCTGGAGGATGTTTTTTCTGTGCCTACACAATGAGCGGAGCTTTTATTTTATCACTTGGGAGTAATAGAAATCACAACCAGTGTCAGTGAAGGAAGGAAAATAACCTACTACTGTTGAGGAACACCTCTAGAATTCATTCCTGCCTTGTGTTACCTGAAGGCAAAAGAAAGTAGAAAGGATTGTTATATTTATTGCCTGTTAAGCAAACCAATGAAGAGACGTTCACTATCACCTTTCTCTCCTCTGAAAAGGTCTCATTAATTTTCTTGTAAGTTGACATACTAAGTGTATTCCTGTATTTATGTGTATATTAGTGTATATGTAAATACTATCATAAGTTTTATAACAGCAAATACATATGTGAGATTAAGACCTTTTTTATGCTACAAATGTAATTATTAAACCTATAGATTGGTGGGGTACATTGTAGTAGAAAGAATCGATATAATATAAATTCTTTAGGACAGCAAAAGCAGGAAAAATCTAGGGTGCTGAGAGTGAAGAATTGGGCAGGAAGCCATCTAATGAGTTAGTTTATGATCCAAACTTCCTCATGTTCCTCTCTATGACTAAGCATACCTCTTTCATTGTCTCCATTCATTTAGTATTCAATGTAATATGAACATTTTTTACACAAGGAAATATCTTGCATGGGTATAAGCAAAGAATAAGGTTTGTGGTGGCTTTGTCTTGTAATAAAATAGCTTTGTGGGTTATTAAAATGAATTTCAAAAGGTTAATAAGAGATAAACCCAATTAAATGCTCTGTCACTTTTTAAAGCAACTGTTAAAAGGGAAGGAAAATACATCTGGTAGCTGACCTGTATTTTGTTTTGTAATTTACATTTTAGATGAGATTTCAGTTCGTGATCTGGTGCTAATACTAATTTCCTGTCTTTTTTAGTTAATGACTATTAGTGATATATTATTTTATATAGTCGAATGCTTAATGCTTTCTTAATCAAGTGGGAAATAGAGGTTTTCACTTCAGTTTGCGATCGTTTTTGTTGCTGCTGCACTAACTCTGTTCAGGAATGTTTCTCTTAAAGCTCTAGAATAAAGGTTTTTGGAGATACTAATTGTATTGACTTCTGGAAGAAATCAATTGTTCAGTTATAAAGTGAGTTGTTCTTAGTTGTGAGTTGTGCTCTTTATATAGGATTGGTGATGTGTGATAACATCACAAGGGTTTTTTTCTTTATTGTTCTAGTTTTCTTGATTTACATTCCATTAGTAACTGGTTTGTTGGACACCCACAGAGAACTCCTGATACGGAACACTTTGAAGATGGGATACAAATGTAAAAATCTGATGTCAGTCAAATGACCTGTGAAAGTCACAAACTCAGTGGAAATATTTAGGTTCTTTCTTAGCACTTCCTTTTTAAGATGTTGGTGGTATTTTGTTTCTGTTTCAGGAAATTCTAGGAAGAAGCTGATGTGTTCAGTGTGCAATAAGAAATGTTCTTCAGCAGCAAATCTCCAAGAGCATCGAAAGGTCAGTAAGATGAAGGCTAACTCACAGCAGGCTTTGACTTCGTTAAGATGTGAATCTGTGGTGCTTAGGTCACTTGAAAGCTGCTGTAATACAGACCTTTAGAGTAATCTCTTTCATGGTTACAAACCCAATGTATTTTATTGTGGATTTTTATTTTTGCAATCACAATTGGTTAAACCAGAAGTCTTCCTAAAGTTTTAATGCATCTTTATCAAATACAGAAATGTTTGCGTTTGTATCATTTATGCATTCTAACATTAAGTCAGAGTTGCCTGCTGTTTTTCGGCATTCTTAAAGACTAAGCTAAATGTACAAGTATGTTATGTAATGATATGATACATACAGAGCATGAAATAGTTTCATGAGCCTTCAGGTTTTGTACAAAATACAATCAATCTTTCATATTACTTTGTGACATACCAGTAAGGGTGTTATTTGTAATCTACTTATGCAGTGGTAAAAAACATTCTTCCTCAAAACCAAACTTTTAATGTCTTTTTTTAATGCATATAATTTTTTATAACCAGAACAGGAGGGGTTAACAGTTTGAAAAGCATCTATTGGAAATAAGGGGGTTCATAGTACAGATGGACTATGAATATGAGAATCTGAATCCATTATACCCAAAGGAAGTCCGAGCAAGATTAATTTGATAAATCGCTAAAACCCAGGAGATTCTGTTTTTACATAAAGCTACATTGTAGTGTTTATCAGATTAACTGTAAGTCTTTAATAATGCCCTGGTTATAACCTGAATCCATAGAGGATATAGATGATAACAATTAAAATATGTTGTTGCAAAGAAAATGTGGGACCCCTCCTTTTTTATTTGTTTTTCTCCTTATGTGTATTAATATGGCTGTGATTTCTTGTCTACAAGGCTATACTTTGTTACTTCTCAAACCAAATCCTGGTATGTCTTGCCGCATGTAATTACAGTTTTTACACAACAGTGCATTGTATGGTGGCCCTGAAAATCCGAAGTAATGTGGTTAGTGTGTCTGTTTTATTAAAATGTTTGTTTTGCTGCAGCAGTTGTAATTCTGTGCAGACACTGACACATGCTAACAAGCTTTTCAAGGAGCATTGATGGTAAATCAGTTGAGCACTTCCTCATCTTTAGAATCCCCATGAAGATTTTATGCATAAAACTTTATTTCCTGTTCTTGATTGACTCTTCCAGAGCCAATCCAGAAAATAGATATTCTAGATTCACAGCCTACAAAAGATAGTGAAGGAGATTGCATGTAGGGCTCATGCCTTCTGTTTGTTTGAATTACTTTTGCTTTTGTAGGAAACGGGGCAGGATCCATCACCAGCAATGCCAAAAATATTTAGACAGGCAGTAAGAACGGTAGGAAAATAATAGGTGAAATATGGAGTAAAAGAGATTCCCCCCCCCCGCCCCCCCATTACCTGTCAATATAAAGAATTAAAAGTAATGGATAGAAAGGTAAAGTATAGGAGATGGTAGAAAATAAGCCCAAACAACAGACAGAAATCTGACAAACCGAGAGAAAGAAAGTAAAGGGGTTGTCTATAGGGGAGACAATATCTCAGTAAATTTAAGGAAGTAGAGGGCTGGAAGAGACTTTGGGTGGTTTCCTAGCCCGTTCTCTTTCACAGAGGGGAGTAAGCATGTACCTAAGTAATCATAGATATGTGCTGTCTTGTCTCCTGAAAAGTTCCATTAAAGAAAATTCTACCACCTCCATAGATATCTTTTTGTATTCTGACTTCCAGCTTTAGTGCCATCAACTTTTTGGAATGTGGTCGTTAGTCTATTGTTTGTTTTTTCTGATGTCCTACCTAAATCATCTTCTTTACTGCAAATTGAATTAGTTGCTTTCTGTCTTATCTGACAGAATGCCAAGAAAATTTCACTGCTGTCATCTTCATAACAATTAGCATATTGCAAAGTTGTTATGAACTCCATTTGCAATTCTTAGGCTGTACCAACAGAGTCATTTCAACCTTTCTTCATGGATCTGTTTTTCCAAACTACTCTTTCATTTAGTAAGGTCTTTCTTCCCATGGATTCTCCCTTTAACCTATATGCTACCCAAACAAGAAGAGCTGTGATGCTTAGTTGAGCCCCTGGTAGCCAAGTGTTGTGGAATGAATGTCCTGAATTCAGTAATACAGAGAATATGTCTAATAATGTATTTCAGAATGACAAGGCTTTCTAACAGGAGCATCATTCTTGTTATTCATATTTTGTTGGAATTCATAAATGTTTTCTGAAGTGGTGCTATGTAAACTGTTGGTTATCATGTAGCATTTGTGCATTTGATTACTCCTTCCTAAATATTGAATGTTTTGGAGCTTTGTTCAGAGCATGGAAATAATTTTGAATTCTGATTTTGTTTTCCTTAGTGATTACACTCTGACCCAGAATAGTCTCACCTACATTATTTACTTGGTAATTATTTATTTGATGTGCAAAGCTACTTACCATAATACAACACTTCCTGCATAATGCCTTAACAACAGTTATGATGCTGATTCACTGATGTTATTGCTTTTTGCAGTGATCAGTATCTTTTGTTTTCCATTCTTTCTAGAACCACCTGTTCTTTTTTGTCTTATCCTCCAATTGTACAGTGATACCCTTCTATCTGATATGTTCATGATTTGGACTGCTAAGTGATGTGGTAGTATAAAAAAAAAAATAAATTCCCAGCAAACACAACAACTCAGAAAATGCTGTACAGGAGCTTACCGAAGACTGGGTAATAGAATGAAAAAGATTGTTATAAAATCTCATTTCTGCAGGTTTGTGATGCTATTGCCAGAGCAAAGGATGCACCATCTGAACTGTTCTAAGTTCTGAAGTTTAAGTAAAATGCAAAATTCAGTCATTCAATGATGATAATAGCAAGCAAGCAAGCGAGGGGAGCTTTGTCTTCATAGATGCAGATTCTTGCTAAAGGGTTCCTAAAGACACCTTTCAATATAGGTGTCTCATATTTTGGATTTGAATTGCTCACAGTAACTTAAACTTAAGTGAGCATATAGGTGTGAATATCACAGGCTGCCAGGCCTCCCCACTGATGCTCTAATGTTCTGTAAGTGGGAAGGGAAGAAAAATTCAAACAAACCCCAGAATTGTTAGTTCTTTTTTCCAGGCCGATGCAGACAGAATTGATAGTACTACACTTCCAGTACTTGTAGGTAAACTTGGAGGGGATATGTCTCTTCCTGGCTGTACTGCTGTGGAGTGAGTTCTGACTCTTCTTGTAGGCAGGAGTTTTCAGTGGTAAAGTAGCTAATTTCCCATTAAGAAGATTAAGGACACCTTTCAGTGTAAGGCAGTAAAGCTTTTGACTTAGGAAAAGGTCATAAAACAAATGCCTGTATGAAATGTAGGATTGTGCTTCACTGGTAAGACTAGTTTGTGCTGTTGCCATTCCAGATTTCTTAGCAGATTTCTTAGGTGAATCTGAAGGATTCCACTCAGAGGCGTGCCGTAGCACAGTGTGCTGGAGAGAAAGTGACAGAACCAAGAAGGATCCTACTCATCGTTTGTTCTAAAAGATTGGGAGTGTTTTATTGTTCATGGAAAAACCTTGATTCCTTTGTAAGTTTCTTTGTTGTAGAGCTGAACTTCCTGCAAAGTTAGGGTGAGGAGTGCCACTATTAAACATCATCTGGGATTCCTCCCCTCTCACCCTGCCTTTTTTTCTCCTGCCAGTTCCAAACATCTCTGCCCTTTGTGTTTGACATGGGGCAGCGTTTTATTCTACTGCGTAATCTTTATTTTTCAAGATCACTGTGAAAGCCATAGAAAGGTAGAGGAAACCAAATTTTGAACACCACTTTAAAATTGTCAGTAACATTTAATAATTTCCATTGGATGCAATATTCTCATATCCCTGCTCTTTCTAAGCACTGACTTCCAACAGAGCCTCATCCAGTACTTGGAGTGGTAGATGGAAATTCAGATGACTCTTTGGAAAAGTTGATCCAATGCAGATTACTTGTTTCTTCAAAGTTTTAGCTCAGTTTCAGCCCCAAAACTCTTTTGAATGACTTTTTGCTTTTCAGTAGACCTAATGAAAATTTTAAGATTATCAGTTCTATAAGTGAAGTATGTTTATGTGAGCATATATGAATCTTGTTCTGATTCCTGCTGTTTTGTATAGCACTTAATTGTTATCTGAAGGTGTAGCTCTTCAGATGCCTACAAAACAATTTAAAGTATGTTTTGACTTTAACAGAAGTTTATGTTGATAGCTATTAACAGCCCCCTGATGAGACTAATTTTGCTGTATGAATAAATCATTGCATGAGCACTTCTTTGTGCTATTAAAGCTTGTGTACTCATTAGAGCATGTTGCTTGAGAAGTTTTTTAAAATGAAAATCCGTTTGAATATCCTTTTTCCTAAAAATTATTTGCTATATTTTATTACTGTTTTACCATGTAATTGTACACTTCTCTAGAGAACTGGTTAAAGAGTGCTGGCTATAGAATATATGCTTGATAACTACAACTATTTAATGCGTGTGCACACAAGTCTGTGTCTGATTCTTTTCTAAAGGATTGATTAAAGAATACCAGCTATAGAATATATATTTGATAGGTGTAGCTTTTTAATGCACGTTGCATGTGCATGCAAGTCTCTGTTTTAATGCAAATGTATTCAATGAGACTGTTTATTAAACAGTGCTCATAAGTTGAAATCAGATATTTGTATAGTGTTACAGCACAGTCTGGGTTCTGATGTATTAAATATTATGTGTAAGGATACCTTACAAGTTATTTCAAGTAATTGTGTCAGGGTAGGGAGATTTTGGTAGCACTCTCAGAATTATGTAAACTTCAGTCAACAATCTAAGTAGAAATTTAGATCTTTTGGGAAAGGGTTGAGTAGTAGATTGCATGTGCATATAAAGTAAATTAATCTGAAATGCTGCTGGGTAAAGAGGATATTGAGAATTAATGATCTTCATTTGGTCTTACTGCCTGATTCTGCCTGAGCATTTCATTAAGGATCACTGTCCAAAGTGTGCAAGTTTGCAGAGATTGTAGGAAATAGCATAACCAATTTTAGTTTATTAAAACACTTAATGTGCTCTAAAGTTAGTTTGTGAGTAGCAGTATAAAAACATGGTGAGGCAGAATACATATGGAGACTCTCTTTTTGTTTGGGTTTTTTTGTTTTGTTTGTTTCAAGCAGAAGTCTTAGTTGAGCTTCTTGTCCGCAAGTGTTTCTCGTTTAATGTGTTGAACCTTTGCAATTTGTTATTTTTAGCTGCTAGATTCTCCTACAGAAAGCCTATAGAGTACCCCAAAAAAGCTTTATGAAATGTGATCTTTGGCTGGAAGCTTTGCTAAGGCCGAAAAGCTTAACTGTATGTTCAGTTGTGCTGTGACTATGTTAAGGGGAGGCTGCTGATGGCAAACGTAATGCAGAGCAGAAAGTGAATGGTAATCATGACAGCGGAAGAAGTATGTATGTGTTGTGATTTTGGGGGAACGTTAAATAATACAGGATTATTTTTTTAATTAAGTATAAGAAGTTGCGCCTCTCAACTGCGCCTCTTATTTTTCCATCATTTAGTCCTTAATGATGTTATGTGCTGTGATATTGAAAATCTTGCTTAGTGCATTTACAGTTTTAACAGACACTGCTGTCTCTCCACTGTCTTGCCTATAAAAGCTTTTAAGAGAAACAATCCTGACAGAGTTTTGATAGTAGTTGTTTTTTAAAATTCTTACAGTAGTTATAAAGTAGTTACTCTGTTATTTTACTTGTCTTATTGACTGGAAAGAAATCTTATTAAAAGGTATTCTGCATCTCTTTTTTTAATGCTTTCATAATAATGATAGTTTAAATGGATCTGATGTTGCAAATTTGCATAACCTCTGTTTCTAAATATAGTGTTAGTGATAATTTTTGTTTGCAACTATGAATATTTATTTTTTGAGAGGTGCTGTTGTTCACCAAGAGACTAGCAAGGGGGAAATAGCAGAATATTAATGAGTATTAGAAAATAGTTGTATATGTAAGATGTGTGATTTTGTTTGAGACTTGCTTAATTTTCATTAAACACTCATTTTGCAGGTCCATGAGATCTTTGAGTGTCAGGAATGTGACAAGAAATTTATTTCAGCTAACCAGCTAAAACGCCATATGATAACTCATTCAGGTAATGTACAAAAATAACACAAATGTGCATGTATGTATATGTGTTTACCGTATATTGAATTTTATCTGAATTAGTTTCTTATAGAAGGCTTGATGAATTTTGTGTTGTCCTGAGCTGTTCAAGCAAATCTCAGGTTCCAAGGAAACCACCTAAGCTATCCTTTCTAAGTCTTCCAAAAATCCAAGTGTAGTGCTATAGCTGTCTTCCTACTGCTGCTTTGTCAAGCTATTTTTTCATGCTAGCTGGGGTAGATGATGTCTGTTAACTGAGATGGGGCAAAAGATTGCTACTTAACTTGTAGAGGAGGGGAAGAATCAGTGGTTTAAATTTCATGTTGAAAAGAAAAGGATGAAGGCTGGGGTACCCTGTTAGAGATCTGTGAGTAAAAAGGGAAACGTTCATTCATGTATGTGTATATCTGTTAGTGGACGCATTTGCACGTAGTTTGCAGACAGAGTTGGTACTCCACACCATGTCATAGACCACACACAAATGTTTCATTGTGCCTGCCCTTTGCCAGATCAGGTCACTGAGCAGGGAGTGGCCTGTCCGTAGGTTTGGCAGTATGACATGAATTGGCTCTGCCAGGAGTTCTGATCACTGCAATCCAGTGCGTCTGTCTTTCACCAGTGATTAGAAGCATCAGCCAACACAATGGAAACACAAACATTGTTCTGTCAAATACATTAGCATTTAAAAAAAACAAACAGGTTTTTATAGCAGCATAGACTTATAATTGAACAATTTTCTTGGTATCAGTCCACACCAAAAGCTCTTTTCTTGCAACATAATCTCAGAGGCTCCTAGCTTTCTTTTGACATTCTGGATGAGCATTAGTGCAGTTAAGTTGCAGTCACCAGTTGAAGCATAAATGCTTTTTGCATAGGAACTTTTGATTTTGGAAGCTAATATGTATATTGTTAATTAAGTTTTAAAACATTTAAACTGTCATGCCCTCTTTCACATTGGTAATCTGGAAACAGGGTTTTCCTCTTTGAAGTCATTCTCTTTTGATTTAAGCTAATTAATCAGAATTTAGTTTTAGCAATGATTATTGCAAAGAATGTGCCAATCGCTTGAGATACACTATGGCTCATCTTTTGTGAAGTGACTTAACTGTCTAACATAAAGGGCATTAGATATCTTTCTAATTGGTTTAATCTTAATTGGGTTGACTTAATTGCAGAAATCTCTCTGAGGAGATGACTGTCTCTGCCTTTCATCTTCTCCCCCTGTATAAACAGGAGATTAAATGTCCCCCACTCATTTTCTGCAGAAAAACGCCCCTACACCTGCGAGGTTTGCAATAAGTCCTTCAAACGACTTGATCAAGTGACTGCACACAAAATAATACACAGTGAAGATAAACCTTATAAATGCAAGCTTTGTGGAAAGGGATTTGCCCACAGAAATGTTTACAAGAATCACAAGAAGGTAAAGCACTCTGCTGTTGTTGTTTACAGGTCTGCCAGCCTCAGATTTGCAGATTTTTTTTTCCTCTTTAAAGTGGTTCATCATTAAGCTCTGGCATGCTTATAAACATGGGATTAAAGTATTGGAGAATGTATTTTTCAGTGTTCTTTGTTATATCCAAAATCTCAAAATACTAAATGAACTGTGGTTAAAAAATAATGAAATAAGAAGAAGGAAATCACAGTAACTTGGTTAAAAGCATCATATAAATCCCTATTTTGACTTCTCTGCTTGTGGGTTTGTTTTTTTTTTAATATTAGGTTATCAAGTTAAAAATTTAACTGGTCTAGAATGTCTTCAAATTTTTTGTTTTTTAAAAGATACCGTATTTGAATACAACTAGTGTAGTTCTGTTGCAGTCATTGTTGGACTTAGCAGCAGAGATGCTTTCAAACTGTACTTGATTTGCATTGGGTAGTGTTTCCAGATTAAAACAACATCAGAATAAATGTTACCTGAAAAATAGACTCACAAAGGGATGCTCCGCTTCTATTGATTTAAGCTCAAATCTGCTTGGCCTAATTTCTATAATGCCTGCCATTATTTTTAACCTGGGGTTACATTTTTAATGGCAAGGCTATATCCATGACTGCTGTTTTAGAATTACAAGTCTGTAAAAAAAAGAAAGAAAGAAAGAAAAAAAATATGCCTGTCTGGTTCTGTGCCCAGTATTGGGAAACCTTTGCTTTTTTCTTTTTTGTTTCTTTACATTTTTTAAATACTTCCCCTTTCTTCCCCCCTTTTTGATGAAACTGATATACCCATACTTACAAGTCTTTTGCAGTTTGGCTCATGTTATATGCCATCTGGGAATTTGGCACAGGATCTTTGCACCATCTCTTGCACTTTGAGCCATAAATCATGTAAGAGTAATAATAATGCTGCTCGTAGGATGAAATGGTGATGACTGTCTTAAACAGAAAGCATGCAGAAGCCTGCTGAAGGACAAGATTAGCTCCCATATATGCTATGGTTGGATCTTACGTTTTAGGCTTTATTAAGAAAATGTGGCAGAATCCCAGAAATAGGATATATTCTGAGACAAATGTATAAAATACTATCTGAAAAAGATGCTTCTAGATCTTAAACAAGTCATTTTTACATGTTTCCTTATGTTAATTTGCAGTTAGTTTGGGCTGAAAACAGAATTCAGGATTAAGTATGAACAAGTAAACACTTTGACCCAATTCAGCAGCACCACTAACATTAGCAAGGATTGGAGGCTCCACTTAATGGGAAAATATTAAAATTTAGACAGATTTAGTGAGTGCATAATTTTGACAGAATTCCTTAAAGCGTATTGGAATACCTATTTCCTGAACCTGTTTGCACATAGTGCTGGCCGTAAATCAACCCTGTCCTATAACGAAAGAACCTTATTGCTGTCTTTACGTAAAGTTTACTCAAGGAGTTGTGAATATTCACCCATCCATATTTAGGTCTCTAATTTCACTTGCTAAATGAAAAGTTGAGCGTGAGAGACAGGAGACTGACATAGTTGTCCTGAATTGCTTTTTTAGACACACTTCTCTCTACTGAGTAAATAATGTAAACAAGAAGAGGTAGTAGGTAACTGAGGGGAGTATGGATGTGTATGTACAAACCCGATTGTAAGGTCTAAGTCAAGGATGTGGTAGTTTGGGATGCCAGACTAGTTTTAAGTGACATGATTTTGGGAGGGCTGCACTACTACTAGGGGATGGGACAATAGTTCTTTTGCTTTTCACAGGCATGTCAATCCAGTAACAGTGGGAATTTAAACCTTTATTGTGTATCATACTCTTTTATATTTCTTCAGCTTGGGTTTTTAATGATTCTTTAGGTGTATATTCCTTTAAGATGTCCTCCTAGGTTTCATTTTCTTTTGGAGGAAGAAAAGTCTGCCTCTGAATAATTTCACAGTGTTTTTTGAGTTGTAGGATGCAGTTACTGTGGTAGGAACAGGAAGCTTAGAAACCTGCAGCAGGAATGATGGGTGTAGTAGTTAAAACCACTTAAATCAACAGCATTTAAGAGAAAACATGATTTTAAGTTTGATAACAACATGCTTGAAAAAACTCTTCAGGTTTTACAGCAGAGCTACATACTTTTTATCTATAATAAGAAACAGAATACATACACGTTGTGTGCCTTTGAATTCTTATTTTGTGTTTTAGATGGAAACTTGTAGCTTTTTCTGGGATTCCTTTATGGGGGTTATTTAGTCTGATTTTGTGTCAGAAGTACGAGAATAAAAATGGTTCCCACCACATGTGTTTTTAAACATCTTTCAGCTGTGGGTGAATGTTTGGTCATTTCCAAGGTGCAGAAAAGAGATTGATTCCTCCTATTTCACAGGATTTCTCTGGGAGATAGACAGTGGAGTTGTTAAGAGTGTATCTGCTCTGTTTGGTGGAGTATTGTGATGTGAACCCTAATTTAGCACTCATTACACCCTTGTAGCTGCAGATCTGAGAGGCAGGAACTCATAGTCTTCCTGTGGTACCCCCGATGTACTGCTTCTGTACGAGTACTGCACCGCTCTGTGGAGGGCATGTGCAAGCTTGCTTTGTACTCGCTTGGAGATGTCAGCACTGAGGTGTGTCAGGCGATGTGGAACTACCTTAGATACCTTTTGAAAAAGCTCAGACTACATGACTAAGTGATCATATGAAGAATACGTTTCCATTTTTGTGACAAGGGAAGAGAATGGTATCTGAAATTAAGAGGCAAATGTAGCATTGGATTGTGCTACAGGTGAAAATGGTCCTTTTTCATCCAGGTGAGACTGGATGAAGGTGCATGTTCTGTGCCATATAGTACGCATTACTTTCATAAAGGAGAAAGCAAAGTTTTTGTTCCATCTGCTCCTTTGTTCCTGTGTATAGAGGATGAGTTCAGAGAATAAAATACTAGGATACAACAGTGAGCAGAAGTAGGTCAGCAGACAAAGGATTTTAAAGGGTTTATGGCTAATCCAGGGTTATGTGGTCCTGGGGAGCATAATGGATTGAAGCAACTGTATTCCCTCAGTTTCTCTGTTGGGAATAAGTAGCCTAGGGCTGGGTTTAAGCCTCCACAAATGTTATGGTAGGAATGGCTTCCATGAAATATTCCATAAGAGCCCTTCCGCAGTTGCTTTGACATGTAGCTCTCACCTGCTCCTGCTCTGAATGAATGGAAGCCACCTCTGATCTTCAACCCATTAGTAGGACAAAAAAGGACTGTATTAGAAGTAATATGATTTTTTTGGGGGGATATCTCTCCTCATTATGATTTCCATGGCTTTTTGTAATAAACCCAGCTTGTTTCTGGACTATTCACAAAAGAGACAGATGAGCTGTGTACCCTTGCATGTGGGTATGCCTAGTTAGGTGGTTTTCTTTGTCGTGAAGTTAAGATGTGCAGAAGAATGCTTGTGTTTTGATCAAAAGACTAAGAGAGCTCTCGAGGAGATGCTAAGAAGGAATTCTGTACAAATCACTGTGCTCTTCAGAACTATCACTCAAGTGGTGAGTGTTCTAAAACAGGGCATTTTTTTAAATAAACATAATGAATTTTGCGCTCGTGAAAGGTGCCAGATTGACAGCCCTAGAGACTGAACCCTTCTATTTATCCACAGAACAGGTACAGCACAGACAGCAGCACTGCGAGCTTCCCCACAGTGTCTCGTCAATATGTCTCAACCCTGTTCTGGAGGAACCACCTGTTGAGGTGAGAAGGTAGTTCAGTCTCTTCATGTCCTGTCAATCCTTGGCCTGACTGCTGAGACTATCAAGCAGGGTGTGTCAACTGATGCAAGCTGTGATGTAAACCTGCAGAAGCTGGACTGAACTGTTCAGCAGATTTTATGTAATTTGTGGTGTATTCCACACATTTGATAGTGCTCCAGTTCCCTTTTTGCTCTAAGTGACGTCAAGGAATTGACTTTGAATCCAAAGCCTCTGTATACCATTGCAAGTACTCTAATGTTTTGGTACTGTTGTGTATGTAAGGGGACTTTTGTGTTAAAATCAATCTAGGTTCAGGGCCCTCAGTCTACATCTAAATAATTATCCTGACTCCCCACAGTCCCTTTTTTCTCCCCAGTTTAAGGGATAGCTAAACTATTATATCATATTATGGATGGCGGAAATAGATTATATAAATATGTACTATACTAATATTTTTCCTTAGTCTATGAAATTAACTAATTTACCTAAATTTGTGCATATTATAAAACTCCTACTGTCCATCCCCTTTTCCTGTTGGCACTGCAGCTGCTACTTTAAGTCCTTACGAGTTATTCAAGTGTTTAGACACTGATGCTTTAAAAACTTGCTTTCCTTTACAAAAATAATAGGAAATTGTGTTGTTAATAAATTGTACGGATTAATTTACTCTCTACAGTAGGACAGAACTTAATGCTAGGAAATGGGGGAAATGCTTTAAATTTTACAGAAGAAGAATGAAGCTGGATGTTTCTGAAGCTCCAGAGAAGAAATCTGCTTCAGCAACTCTAGTTTGAGAGACTTGTCCGTGCTCAGCCTTTCATTTTATTTGTGGCTTTGAGGCTGTTTCTCAGCTACAATGAATTTTTCTACAGCCTACAGAGACCTGGGTACTGATGCTTCTATGCCTGTTTTGCCCCACCCTCCATTTTGCCCCATACAAGAAACGGAAACAACAATATATAATACTAGTCTCATGATTTGAAAAATTTTCTTTGCCAAACTTTACATACTGTCTTGAGATAATCAGATCAGTTTTACCTTCAGACTTAGTAAAAGAGGTTTGTGTAGGTTTTTTCCTGGTTATTCTGTATTTTTGTTTCTGTTTGCTTGCACGCTTCATGTAACACTCCCAAGGACAGGGCAGGTACATTTATTCAGTAGCCACTATGCTGACTTTCTGGATTCTGAATAATAGCAGAATGATTGTTTTAATTTTTCATCCCCTGATGTTTCTAATTGCTGTGATATCCCCTCCTGAATCCAGTCTAGAATATTAGGTATAATTACTGTAATGACAGCTAATTGATTTTTTTGAGCCTTTCCTCTGACTTGTTGTCTTCCATCTGCAGACCCATTCTGAAGAGAGACCATTCCAGTGTGAGGAATGCAAAGCTTTGTTCCGAACTCCATTCTCTCTACAAAGACATCTGTTAATCCATAACAGTAAGTGCTAAGTCAGAAAGGAAAAAGAACTTCCTCAGTTCTCACATTTGACTGAGAAAAACAGACATATGGCACCTTGCTCCAATATGCAACTTGCTATGTTAAATGAGGGTTAAGATTCAACTTTAACCCCCGGGAGTCAGAAAATTCAGAGCCAAATTGAAACCTTGTCTTTAAGTGCACTTCAATGCAAATCCAAATCTGCTATAGAAAATCTAGCAATGATTGGAGGTCTGATGACAAGAAATTTCTTTCTGCGTTAAGTGTGATAGTATTGCCTCAATTTTAAGAAAGGAGAAACGGAAGCAGAGTTAACTTGTTGGCTTACTCAGTTTTTGTAGGTAATCCCCTTTAGAGCTTGAAACTGAGATTCTCTCTCTTGTGCCAGTCCAGGCTAAAGTTTCCTGCCTCTGGCATAGAACTAGCAGCCTAGAGGAATGCTGTGGCCATTTTTCCTCACGGTTAACTTGTTCTTGGCATTCTGTACTGTTTTTTAACCGACTGTGTAAAGATTTATTTTTGGTGGAATTTTCTCCGTCTTTAATATTTATAGAGAGCCTCAGACTACCATTCAACCATATGAATGTCAGCAATTTAGATTTTGGAAAATATTCATGGTCTAAAATTCTTGTAGCTTAGAAAGACAGTGCTTTGATTTGGGGAATATTTATGTTGGTAAATTTAAAAAACCACAAACTTTTTTTTTTTTTTTTAAATCCAGTATAACAGTGTTTCTGTTAGATGAATCATTAGACTGGTTCCTTTAGTTTGTTCTTTTACTATTATCTTTCAAAGCTTCTGCAATTTCACAAAACATTGACTTTTCTATAATCTTTTTCCAATGCTAAATGTTAAAAATGATGGGAGTAAAAAGTTTACACGTTACTGCACAGGTTTTTTTCTAATGAACCAAATATTTGGAGGATATCAAAAAGCAGTAATTCCTAGTATACAGAATTGTAGGCTTTGGTAAAGGTCTCCCAAAGCATATACTTTGACTCTTTTTTTCAAGAGGATGAAAGCTTAGGAAATTTGAGTTGGGATTGTGATTTGTGGCAAGTTTAGCTGTTTCTGAACCACCACTATTTAAGCAAATATTGAATATATCAGGGTGTGAACTGTGGTGGCACAGACATGTCTAGTCAGTCTTCCTTGGTGCAAAAGGAGACCTCTCTTGCTGAGGAAAAGAGTATGTATTTGAAGGTGGCAACTTCTGCCATCTTCACTAAAACTCTCTCCAAAATGAGTCAAAGCCTTAAACCAATTTTTATGGTATTTTTATTAAACACAGGGAAGATTTTTAATCCTTTTTTTTTCTTACTTTAGGGAAAAAAAAAACAACAACAAATGACCAATTTAAGGAGGCCTTCATACAGCAGAATATAAGCAAAGCTTTTATATTCATACCGCATCTCTCTTGTCTGTAGTCGTATAAAAGAAGCGTTGGCAGAGCAATAGCCAAGTGAAAAGTGAAAGTAATTACTAGGGTGAACTGAAGAATAAACAGTTTTCAGTTCAAGGCTGTGATTAAAGCAAGGGGCTTTGCTGTTGTCTGAGCAGAGCTTGTGTTCATGGTAAAGAAATGTAGAACTCTCCCCCTCATGACCTAACTCTGAGACTGACAAGATGTGCTGTCGTGGTAATGAGTTTCTCATATTTGAAATAACTCAGAATTATGGGCATTGCCCTGCTACAGCTGGATGATAGTTCCTCTCATAGCATTGAAATTTATCTCTTGCTTTAAAGAAAGGAGAGAAACAAAAGAGAATTGCTAGATGTATTTAGCTGGCTTTACTGTTCTGTGCTGTAGAAAAGGAAAAATTGTTTGTGAAGCTTGAAACTTCTAGGAAAAACTGAAGTTCAGCCTGCATCATATATTCTTTTAAATTCAGTATCCCCTTGTTGTTTTTGAAGCAGGCACCCTGCAGAGTGGTGTAGAATGACTTAAATTTTTTTCCCAGTAAATTATGCTTGTAAAATAAATTTTATTTCATAAGTTTACTCCTTAGGTGCTCCTGTCTTGAAATTGGAAAAGGTGTCATTGATACAGCCTTCAGAATTCAAGATCAAATATGTCTACCTAACAAACAAACATAAAAATCCAAACTAATTTTTTTTTTCTCCTAGCTGTTTAAGTGTAACTTGACTTCTGAGAGTCAGCCATGCTTTTTCTTAGGCAAGCTGCTGATAATACTTTTAGTATCTGTGTTCTCATTATGTCATTGGTGGTGGTGGAGGTGACCCTTTAGTCTCAGCTGTAGTGTTTAGAAAGGATGTATGATCCATAAGTGTATGGTAGTTCATGCTTGGCTAATACTCTCTCATGAGGTGATAAGAGACCTGGCTGACAAGGATGAGTAACCCTAAGCATTTTTGCTTGGATCGTTCAGTTGTCTAGGGTTGTGGAGACATGCAATGAACAGGATTGCATTTGTTGAGATGGACATAATCCTTTCTTTGCTTTCCAGAGTAATAAAATACATGCAGGATGTTTGTTAGCTAGAGAAATACTAATTAGCTCATTCCACAGAGGTTGGCAAAAATGTGCACTGAAGATTGCTCATTTAAGCACAAGTAGCCCTTATTTTCGTTAATGTGTTCATCAAGAGGAGAGTGCATCAGTAGAGTAGATAAAGCCACTGCCAGGAAAAATACTGCATTATGTTTTGTGTTTCTGGTGGAAAGCACTGTAGGACATATAATGTCAGTGCTGTGTTTCCATCTTTGGAGGCTTTTATGGATATTGGATGTCATAGTTTCATGTCAAGTACTCTGAAAAGGTTTCTCTCCTTCAGTCGTTTCAAGAGCTAAAGTCAATGATGCACTTTCTTGTTTGATTACATTCTGTAGAGCATCGAGGCCTGAAGAGAATGTATTTTTGTCTTCTACTATTTCATATTGCAACAAACTTCTTGATCTAGCACAGTGTAAACCTGTTGACTGAAAATATGTAACAAAACAGGTTATCTAGGTTTTGGAATGTCTGTGGGTACTTGAGGCACCGCTGTATTGATAAGCTGCACTTATGTGTATTACATGCATTTAAGGAGCTGTAACAAGGAAATAAGTGTACCTCTATATGTGTAATTGCTACTGGAAAAAGTAGCTTGTGCTTGTTCAAGTCTGTAACTTATTCATGAGGGAAGGTGCAAATAAGACCTCTGCCCTGAAAAGTAAGAAGTGGAGGATAGTTTTTTGATTATGGTGATCTTATTTCGTGATGGAGCTGCTGGTAAAGTTTCTCGGGGTATGGGCCCCTGATTTCCAGTTTAGACTCTGGATTTCTGAAGGAATGCCATGTTGCAGATGTTTATCTTGCAATTTTAATCAAGAAGTTAAGACATAGAAGAGAATATTCCCTTCTGCGTTCACAGTAGTGATAAAGAGAAGGTTTATTGTAATGATTTATCTGAAGAATCTTTTTTTTTTTTTCTCTCAAAAGATGTATGCAGATTTTCAGAATGCATTGTCTCTTCCCCTCTCTTAGGTAATTAATTGAATTTTGAAACTATTAGCAGTATTAACCTGATTTCTGCCATAACCTTCAACCACATCGCCACGGTTTGAATAGTAAAACTGCTGTAACATTTAGAAGTTACTTTGTCTTTGCCTCTATTGATGTGAATGAGAGATTACTCAAAGCAAGTATTTCTTCTTTTGAGAATTCTTTTAAGTTCAGGAAGAGGTCTTTTACCACTGAAGTTTCAAAAGGTGAAGCCTATTTCATCTTTTTGGTTGTTACTATAAAGTGAGTCTGTTACTGGAGGAGTTGATAAAACCTGTGCTCCATTTCACCGGAAACCATTCCCACTGGTTGCCATTTCACTTTTGACTACAAGGTATAATCTCACATTTCTGGCTATGTTATTGTGATGACTACTTTCTACTTTCTTAATTTCCCAATGATGTTTTTACCTGATATGATAATTCTTTTCTTTCTGTTCCCAGGACCCAGCTTTTCACTTGTCTTTGTTGCTTTTATTCATTTTTCTGAAACAATAAGCATTAGTGTATTTCCACAAAAATCTGGTATCTTTAAACCTTGTTTTTCTCTTTTTAAGGTGAGAGGACCTTTAAGTGTGACCACTGTGATGCTACTTTCAAAAGAAAGGACACATTAAACGTTCATATTCAAGTTGTACATGATGGACATAAGAAATACAAATGTGATCTCTGTGACAAAGCTTTTGTGACACCCTCAGTCCTGAAGAGTCATAAAAAAGTGAGTAGAACAGTTCTGTCATTTTTTCTGTGCTCTTAAGGTTGTGACTAAAGATAAAATCCCCAGATGCTTCTGCATTTCTGGCTTTTCTGTGATGGTGCTAAACATTCTAAAATGCTTATTGCAATAATGGGGTCATTGGTAGCATGCAGAATCTGCAGCAGGTGCATACGTATAAATTGGGTGCAGGTTACTCCAGCATCAGGATGGGACTTGCTGCATTGCTCTTACTATCTCTGCAATGGAGTTGGGGTGACCTTTAGAAGAAAGCTTGCGCATTAGTTTGGCCTGAGGTAAGATTGATGTTACATGGAAGAAATGTGAAGCAAATGATTGAATCAAGAACAAATCTGCTGAGGAAAATCAGCTTAAGTGTTGCCACCAAATGCAGATTGTGAGAGTTTGTCGAAAAACATAATGTGTATATTATTTGCCATATAGTATGCACTTCATATATGCATGTAAAATTGCAATAACAAAACTGAGTGTAGCTGAGTTAATTACTATAATATTTTCAGTGTAAGATTATGGGGAGTACTGTGCGTTACATCAGAGATCTGTTCTTTAAAATGTAAGAAAAAATGTAACGGAGTCTTTCCTTGTCTCTCCAACTCTGTAAGACTCCCCTGTCTTACAGGTGTGGGAACTAGCACATGTCTTTGGAGCCAAAATCAAGTTATTGACAGATAGCACTTTTGAATTCTCTAACATAGTGCACAGCACTGGCTCCTTAATGTGTTTGATTTTTAACATATTTATAGATTGCAAAAAGTAATGGAACCAACTAGGAACAAAGTCTCTTTGGTTTCTTTTGTGATGATTTAAAGGTTTTGATCTTCCATTAAATGTGTGTTAATGCATTTGCTGTCTGTCTGTCTTCAATCTGTTTTAAATGCTGCTTGTCTCATCTTTAATATGCATTGTTACTTAGTAATTATAGTTGCTGGAAAATAAAGCTGCCTGAGATTGAGTGACATAACTGTGTAACTAAGGTGTATTTCTCCCAGATAAACTTAAGTGGAAGATTTTCTCCTGCGAATTAGAACCAGAATGAAATGGGGTTGCCTTTCTTGTAGACTTAAGATGATTGAGATTCAAATAACTTTGTTCATCAGTTGTTGTTCGGCCTGTGAAATCAGTTGAGATTTGCTGTAATAAAGAGAGAACTTTATATTATAGGATACTCTTCCTCTCTTCTATTACTTTTAGAATAAGGAGTATTAAACCACATTTCTTTTTAAGCCCAATTATATTGGCCTAAGGAACTGAAAAATAAAGGGTATAGAAAATAAACTTTTGATTTGTTTCTGATTGTATTCTTGGGGAGCAAGACTTTAGGAAGGCATAGTATCTTTTATTAGACAAATTGATTTGTTTGGAAAAAACGGAGTGCTTTTCAGAACCACAGTCCTTTTCATCCTTATGTACTTGTTTTAATCACTTGAGTAACAGACCTAGCCTATCATGCCAAGACATTGATTTCAGATTAACTTTTTTGTGAAGGGTCTTGCCAAGATAGGTCATAACATCCCAGAATCAAAAATATTACCTGGATTCATTGATGAGCTCTGCATAAACTTTTTTGTTCCTCAGATTCCTTTCTAAAAAATGCAGTATGATGTATTTCATGTTAAAAGTGGCCATATTCATCTATGTAGTTGTGTTTTAATGGGAAGCAGCTGCTGTTTATCGTTTATCACTATTCTTTCTTTGACATTCCTTCTTCACTGTAATTACTATTGTTTTGTGCTGCTGTCAGACTAGGGCTTGCTGTATGTTTGTGGGCCTTGTAGTTTAATGTATTGCTCCTGGAAATCCTTTGGTTTTTTAAATGTATGGAATGAATTAATAGCTGTCTGTCTGGTATTCCTCAGTGTTGCTTTTGGAGATATAAGTGATTTCTAAAGAACTCTATCCTAATTAAGAGAGATATAACATTCATATTGCTAATATCAGGGAATGAAAACTCTGCAAGTCCGTCTAGTATTGAAATGATATCTCATTTATTCTTCTTCAGCAGCAGCATAATACGTACTATGTGAGATAAAGTTTTTCTAATGTAATGAAGAATTTTATGTCACTTCAATGTCTTTCATAAAAATAAGAATTAATTTCCCTATCTGAAGAGAGTCATGTGCAAAGCTTGAAACCTAAATAGCCAGCTGTATAAATAATTTCATGTTATCTTCCCTTATGCCATTTAAATTAACACTTATAAATCAAGTAATCAAAAATTCTCCGCTAACAGAGCATTCACAGTTAAAGTTATTCAATAGGCTGATAAATTTCAGAATTGGGCATTGAAGCTACAGTGCGAAAAATGACGAGAACCCACATACGTAACTTACTTCAAGGTGTTCTGGCTGTTGACTGCACAGGTCAGATGGGAGAGTTGTGCTTTGGTTTTTGTTTTTTTTTTCCCATATTGAAATATTTCTTATATCAGCAAGGTGCTCTAGCCTTAAAAGCTTGATTTCAAAAGATAAAGTCGGTGGATGATTTAGTGTTGTTGACAATTGCAATATACTTCTCTTGATCAATTCTCTAAATGCAATCTGATTCTAGGATTTATTACAAACTAGATAGGATCCAGTATGCAATTTGTGTTGACTGAAATCTCTGAGAACTTGCACTCTGAAGGATTGCTGTCTGTCATACCTCAGATGAACTGATGGCTGTGTTTCATTCCTATCAGACAGTCAGAAATCATATGCACAAATCTCCATAGAAACATTTTAAAGCTCCAGTTCAAGTTTTCAACAGGGAAAGTTATACTATATTAGGAACTCTTTTCACTACGCTTCATAATGTAATAAAAATTCTGTGAAATTATAAGCTTTTAAAAATAGCCCTATTTATGAAGATTAATTTTATTAGGTAACAGAATTATTATTTGCTGTTTTCGAAACTACTATCACAGATATCAAATTGAAGAACAAGTGTCTTATTCTTGCAATCATGAAAATACACAAAGATGAAATGGGCCTTTTAACAGTGACTATTTAGGAAATAGTAAATTTAGGAACTGAAAAGCCAGATTATTTTGCCACTAATAATTAAATTTGTTTAGAAATTTTAAAAGAAAATTGAAAGAACACTTATGGGTAATTACTTAGAATCTCTGCCTGATATGATGGTATAAAATATATAATCGAGATAATAGTAGTCAATGTCAGTACAGTTTAAATATTCCATATTTCACTTCTTTTAAAGCTATGCTGAAGCTTTCATTTTTGTCCTTCCCATCACATGTAGACTCACACAGGAGAAAAAGAGAAGATTTGCCCATATTGCGGACAGAAGTTTGCAAGCAATGGAACACTGAGAGTTCATATTCGAAGCCATACAGGTACAGTGTTGTTTATTGTAATGAACAGAGAAGAATTTTTCTAAATGTATAACAAGGTATCTGTAAGTATGTTCACAGTTTGTCCATCTACAAACAGTAATGCAAATTTACAGGTACCTGCTTAACTGGATTCTATTCTCAACGGTAATTATGCATGAAAATATATATATGAATGTTTATATGAATATACAATATGAGTTCATTCATCTCTGCCGCTTCTAGGGTGTTTTGAAACTCTGATTTCATATTAATGTAACTTCTGACCTTATTACAACCTGCATGTTACCCAAATGTTTTACCTTGAGCGTGCTTTAACTCAAAATTTATTTTCTGTTGCATCATCTGACTGAGTATTGATCTAATATTCCTGGGTCCGATTTATATAACTTTTATTTTGCCACCCTGATTGCATTACCGTCTCTCTATCCTATTATATATGTGCTTCTGTGACCACTGAAAGTACATTAGTTGTGTTGTCATGTTTGGTTTTGTAAGCTTATGTTTTCATTTCAAATAAGTGGCAGGCAAGTGAAGGGGGTTTCTTTGTTATAATTTGATTCCAACATAAAATGGTATAGATTCGCCTTTGGCAGTCAAAGCATCAGTTAACAAATAACCTTCTTATGACATTCTATTCACTTTGCATAAGCAAATTTGGTTTGCAGGGAGATGACAGAATTGGTGTGTTTAATCATTTGGATTTCTACTATGTTTGTAAAAGTCTTAATCACTTCAATCTATCAAAACCACCTGTTAAGATTACAGGTTTTACTAGTTTTTGATATATTGTGATTTTTGGATTTGACTGCTATTAGACACTAGCCAATTTTTATCCTGGTCTTGCCGTCAGGATAAAAGACTAAAATTGAATTTCATCTTTAGCTCTTGTTATTAAATTCCATGTTTGGAACATTTATCCCTTGTAGCAGCTGTATAAGAATATATACATGTAAGCAGGTGTCTATGCATTCTGCTCACATGGTTTGCATATACTGTATAATTCTAGACACAAAAGACACTGAAGGTCAAAGCTGGCAAGACACAATGCAGCAGATATGTCCGTTTCTCCTCTTTATTCTTGCTCTTTCTTCTACAACTTCACCTTATCAACTCCTTTCAAAGTCCTTCCTGACAAGTCTCACCTGTTCTGTTTTTCTCTTCAGTCTTCTGTCCTGTAAGCTATGGGTTTCTCTTTTTTTTCTGGCTTCCTGAAGATGCAGAGAAGAGGAAGGAAAAAACAAAACCAACCACTCAACACTTATGGAGCACATGGTATGAGGATTTAGAGAACACTTGGGGACTGTGCCTTTTGGGAGGACCAACAACTTACCCACCTGGGCTGTACTTTAATGACTCTGGTAGACAAGAGTAAAAGGAAGGAATTCAGTAGTATTGTTAGTCATTTAGCACATCAGTCTTCAAGAAATATGAGTGCCTCGATTTCTGATCTGTGCTTTTTTATGAAGTTACTTTGCTGTTTTAATTATAGATATTTCTTTCTTACCTTGTCCATCCCAAGAACTACTTTATCCTTTAATTTTCTGATATTTTGGCATACTAGAGTTTCATGAAAACTTGGACTGTTGTTTCCCCCCCGCCGCCCAGTGCTTAAAGGAAAATCAAAATGTCACTGTAATTCTTCATTAAAATCTCCAAATTCACATTCATGTGTTTCTTGCAGGCAAGTCTGCTTATTGCCTTTACTAGAGTGGTGCTTTTATTTTTCTGTATTTCACAGGCCTTTTCCTTAAATGTTAGGTATGTTTTTTGAGTGCTGTCAATGTTACGCATCAGTTTGCACAGAGTAGAAAAGGTCCTAGTTTTTCAAGTTGATAGTGCAGATAGCTCTTGGGAAAATGCTTTATAGCTGTCTGAGTGAAAATGCTATTTACACATGTGCTGCTACCAGTAACATTTAATGTTTTGGCTCTCTCAGGCAGGCTTTCCTAAATTTAGGAGGTAGGCTAAGGTGAGTTTCATGAAACCACACACCAGAGACCTCTAACCTTGACCTAGAGCCTTGCAAAGTTTGTAGGCATTATTATACAAGAAACAGTAACCTATGACGTTTTGAACGTACTAGAAGGGTGCTGAAGATTTCCAGTACATTTGCAAATTAAACGTGGTGGGAGAAACTGCCTTGCCAGGAGATGATACACGTTGGAATTAGGGGAATACACAGTGTGAAAACAACTTAAGAAAGAATAACACTGCAGAAGGAGGGAAGCTTTCAAGGCTTCTTGCTTTACCTAAAAAGCTAGAAGCATGCATTTTCAAGAGAGTTACTTGTTCAGGAAAAATGCCTTGCTAAATTCATTTGTAATGACGTGTGATAGATAAAGTGATCCTTTCCTCTTCTAGTCTAGCTACTGTTGTGATGTCAATCACTTTTTTCACAGAATCACAGAATTGTGGTGGTTGGAAGGGACCTCAGAGATCATCGAGTCCAACCACAAAAAAAAAAAAAAAACCCCAAAAAAAACCCACAAAAAAACAAAACCAAACCCAGACAGACACAAGGAAGCCAACTGGGACTTCACCTAGAGTCTGGG